TGATTATTTAACTTTTGGACTTGTTTTTTCATTTCTATTGTGTGCATAATAAATAATTTACATGATTTTTCTGGCATAAAAGCGACAGCATCTTTATATAGCCGGGCATCGAAGAGTATCATGACAATTAACCTAAAACATCCGAAGATTACGACCTCTGGTCACTTTCTTCAACTCGTTGAGATGCTGGCACTCTGTCACGAGGAGCTGCAAGAGATCACACAAGCACACGCTGGCCATTCATCGATTGAACTCTCTTTCTCTTCATCTGTGTCGCAGATGAACATGTTTCAACCCATTTTTCAGTCGGTGCTTTTTGTTTTTGATGCTGAAACTGGATTTTTTCCCCGGTTTTTTCCCTCAAGATGCTAATGATCTCACATGATTCACACTCAAAACCAATATTCAACTGGTTTCTACAGAATCACTTCCATGCTACTTGCCATTTATTTCCATATTCTAACAATAGTGCAAGGAGACAACAGAAAAAGTAACAATTGGATGTTGCTTCTGTATTGTTGACTCCTTGTTCGTTCTCAAATAAATTTCATGAAGCGTAACACCATCAAATGCATGTTAATTTCAATGGCTTTGGGCACATTTTATCACTTAATCGGTAAAAAATTACTACCTATGGATAAGTGCATGCGGTGCAGAATTTTTATGAAAGAAAAAAAAAACGATTCGTCTAATAAGATAATCACATGCCGTCGTCAACTCAGTGTGCGATATTCGCGTTGCGGTTCGCTTTTGAAATGAACCTTCTTGGTAATGCAACCAGTTTTTTTTATTCGGTGTGTGTTCGCTTCTTCTTCTGTCGATGTTGAAAAGATAACAATGCAAAAAGCCGATGGTGTTGTTTATATAATTGATCAATCTTATGTTTCATTTACATTTCTCTTCTCGAGGCTACTGTTTGCGTGCGTTCGCCACTCACATCTCCCGGTGCACAAAAGAAGAAAAATAAGAAGAAAAACACAGAAACGAAGAGCCAACAACGTAACAAATGAATTATTTGCATTTATTTCGTTTCCATATTTTTATCTGAGCATCAGCGACAATTTTCTCTTTCATTGAATTCACTCACTCGTTCGCATTTGGAACAACAAAAGAGGAGAACATGCACACTACACACACCAAAAAAATATACGCGATATGATTCTTGGAGTTGCCGTGTTTTGATGGACATCTGATGCAAACGTGAATTATTTAGCATTGTTCTCTGGCCTGGTGATGAAAACTGCTAACAAATTGGCGCCACTTTTTTCGTGATTTCGTGGAATCGACAACTGCTTTTGGCATGGTAACTCAACGGCATGCTCCACTCTTCCAGGACGAGTGAAGAATTTGCAACGCAAAAAAGCAGAAAATCAATAGTGAAAATGGATAGACGTCGTTTTCATCGTCGTCGTCGTCCATTTGCAGGTTACAAAAGTCCAAAGTTTCCATCACAAGAAGAAGGAAAAAAACTTTTTCACAAACTTGCAGTGAACTTGTTATAAAAACAAAATGCTGGCACTGAAAATAATTTGTCCATTATTTTGTGTAGTTCATTTGGAACGGACGACATTTTCTTGCTCAAGCGTCGCAGAGTAAATGATTATGTTTTTTTTCTTCTGACACGAAAAATCTTTTCCAAGCCGAGCGAGAGAGAGAGAGAGAGCGAGAGCGAGTAGCAAAGTTCAGGTCTCTTCTATGGTGTATATATACCGTGCACTGTGCACTGTGCCGCCGTTGCTCCAACATGATTGACGAGCCATCCTTCGAAATCATTATCGGGGGGCGACGGTTTCGTGTGTGGGTGCTGCAGAATCGCACAAATGAGACGTGGTGAAATGCCGTCAGTCGTGGCAAAATGTCTTATTATTGGTTGGAATTAACCACACGGGCGGATGGCATTACTACGGTTGTGACCTTTTGACATGCGCGCTACTTGCACACGCTCATCACAGAAACCTCACACACAGCACACCGTATCCCATCGCCGTTGCTGGAGCAAAAAAAAACACGTCGGAGTTGGTGTTGTTCGGTGTTGTGCTTTTTGGGGTATTTTCTTCTGCACACACATATTTATGTGCTTCGTTAAAAAATTTTGCCACATATTTCAATCGCTGTTTGTTCTTTCAAGTGTGAGAACTGAAATGACATTCGAGGAAAAAATCCCAGATTTATCTAGAGCCGAGAAAAAATCGTTGCAAATTTTCCACAGATTCAGCGCCAAAAAGAGTTTTTTTCTCTGTGCACAAGAAAAGAAAATAGAGCATCTAGAATGCCATGTTTGATATTGACTTTTCCATCTTTTGTTAAAACGCAGCAAAAAAAAATGGCCTGCTTTTAACATCCGACAACTTTTCCAATTCTCTTTCAACAAATGGAAATTGGAATTCATTCTGATGTGACTGGTAGGAAGTCGTTCGCCTGCAACCGAATACCGAAAAAAGGCGAAGAACCATACGCAAAAGAAGAGTCATTCTATTGGAAACGCTTAGAATCGATTCTAGGCAAAATGGTTGGCGAAAAAACAAACAAACAGCAGTTCATCGACCATTTGATTACATGGGAGTTCATAAATGAATTTTCCGACAGCGAAACGGCCTGTGTTGTGGTAAAGGCCAGTGCTTTAGTTTATTCATGCTCAATGGTCACCCAAAATTAATAAATTGCCTCAGTTCTCGACCTTATTCATTCATTTACATTTAAATTCGAAGCAAATCAAATTTTCCTCGCTCGCCTTTTTTTCGTTTGCCTGAATTTTTTTGGGGGGGGGAACGCGCGCGCGCACACTGCGTATAATTATCAAAAATCGGAATAGCTGCTGAGGCGAAAATGGTGCGAAACAAATCAAAGTAAACAAAACTGAAATATTCGCAAGAAAATCGATCCGAAGCAAGCGAAAAGAAAAACGAATGAGCGATGTAAAAAATCGGAGAAAAAAGAGTGACAAGCGAAAAGTTCTTATATGAACTGGCGTATCGTTCGTTGACGAACTCGAAAATAGCGACCGCATTGAAATGCGACAGTTAGTTAAATTCAAATAACTATACACATATTCACGATGTCACACGCAAAACAACAACCGAATAGATATGTTTGTTGGTGTCACTTTTGGAAAGCCGAGCACATTCAGTTCGTCGGGCTGAGTGAGCGAATGAGAAGGCAACAAGAAATTTTTTTCGAGAGTGCTAAATGAAAATCAGAGTGATTGCATGAGTGCGACACACAGACATATACTCACATAGAGACGGAGAGACTGAGCCGGAGTACGAAGTGAGTGAAAGAGCGAGAATGTGTCGTTACGGCGACGATGGTATGTGTGCGCCAGAATTGGTTAAGTATACAGACAAGGCATGTTCATGACACGATGATGTATATATAATATTGTCAGTGCTCTCTCCGTTCGTAAGTGGCAATGGCAAGGCGCACACAGTGTTAAATAGAAGCAACCTCAAAAGTATACAAAAAAAGCGGCAACGCAATCAAAATATACCGTTAACGATGTGTATCGGTCGGAGTCGAAGCTCGAAAAGCCAACAAAGGTTCGACCTTTAAAACAGGCGGAGCTACAAAAAGAGTTTTTTTTTCTCGCATCGTCGTCGACGTCGTTGTTATTGTTGTTGCCGTTCTTTCGCTCTCGGTTATGTGTCACGAATCGTTTTTAATAGCATTCAAACGTAATGTGTGTATACGTACACAACGAACACTCTATAGCGTACTATATATAGAGAGCGAGAGATAAATGTTTGAGTTCGGTATTTCGTTCGTTTGGTTCGGGGAAAGGGAGCGTGTTCGGGTGTTATATACGCACAGACGAGATAGTGCACTGTGTGGCATGGCATGGCACGGCACATACCGTTAGTTGTTGTAGAAACTGAACCGCGTATAAATGAATGAGTTGATAATGTTATAATGTGCTTGCTCTGTTCATGTGAGTGTGGCGCTTTTTTGCTTTCATGCCGCAGCTCACTGATAATGCCACACAATTCGTACGCTGCACATATTGTTCTTCATAATAGATACGCTCCTATCACTTGTCATCCTCAATATTGTTAAACGAAATGAGCTACAATTTTTTTTCCCTTCACGCTCTTTGCAATTCGCTTCGAGCTGACGAAAAATGGGCATACGCAAAAAAACATGGACATGGACCCACTGATGAATGTCTGCTACAAAGGATACGATCTCTCTGTTTCTGACTTTGAACAGCGAGAGAGAGAAATAAAACCCAGAACATTTCACCGCTTTTTTTCTATTTTGTTATTCATTTTCATTGACATGCGAATTGGAACTGGAAAATGGTAGAGATTGTATGAAAAAAATGATGTCATTTGTAACAGCTTATTTAATAACTGATGGCACATTTTAGTTGAAAGCAAAAATGCAAATCTGTATTGATTTTGGACCGATCGCCGCAAAGGGTTCCATTTGCCAAAAATGATTCTTTTCCCTCCGTATGTGTTTATCGTAGCTTAACATCGAAGCTTCTAGGTGAATATGATTCAACCCCGTTCGATCCAATTTTCGTCGCAAAAGTCGGAGAAGTGAAAGAACAAAGCTTCTTTTCCAGCGAATTTCTTCCATTTATTCAGTTACCATAGAAAATCGGGCTGCAAAAGTCACGAGAAGAGAAACGGAGAAAAAAAAGTGGAATGAGTAAACCAATGTCCATCATAAAAATATGACGGGACACATTTCAAAAGCTGAATTCTTCTCTTTCTCCGAAAAAAAGTGCAGTTCTGTAGCCGTTGGCTTTTAATCATTACGTATGGGTTAATATATGAGCCACGACTCTCATTCTTTTTCATTTGATACTTAACCGCTTATATATTTCACACGCATTCGACGCTCTCTCGTACTTTGCAGGCTAGCGGCGGCAGCAACAGCACCGCGCGCGTACTTAAGCGTTGTGCATTTGTATGGGTTCGTTTTAGTATATAACATTTGATTTGAGGCAAAAACAACTACGCTGGCACCGCACTCCGTTAGTATTGGTTTGCGTTCATTCGTCGTTCGTTGTTCGTTATTCGGTCGCTCTCACTGGGCTGTAGACGAATGAATCGCATAGAAAATCCGTGGAAAGCAAAACGAACGACAGAAGAAGAAGCAAATAGCAGCAGTAACAACAGCAACAACCATACGAAAATAGATTTGATGTGGTGGGGTGATCTCGGTGTGCTGCGGCTCTCTGCTATGCATATACGTTCACTTTGTAACAGGTCGTATCGGTCATGTCGGGTCGCGTACCTTTTGCAATGACTCTGTGAAGCCAGTTAAGCAGTAGAAGGCCTTTTGAACAGGCTGTGCTCTCTGTAACTGTGTAAACTACACGATTTTGCTCTGATTTTTTCGTTTGGTGTGTTTCTTCGTTGTTTTTTTTTCCATCCGAGAAATTCGTTCATCGATGCATCGATCGTTTTCTCTGTACTGAGAGACAAAGCGACGTGAATATATTGAGAGAAAAAAATTATTTAGACTTGAGAATAAAAAGCGATTTTTTTGTTATTGTGTTTACTCTGATTACGAGAATTGATTTTTCGTGTTTCGTGCGTTCTTTTGAGTGTGAATTATTTGAATTTTTTTTTAATTCCGAAAAATCAAAAAATAAAATTCGCGCCGATTACGTATGGAAATTTATCGCATCTTTTTCAAGGAACAATTTTTTCTTTAGATTATCGAATCGAATATCACCATTAATTGAATTGATCGTAATTGCAAGATCTGAAAAGAAAAATTAATTGAAAAACGTTTGTTAATGAGAAGAGAAAATTTAAATTATAACAAAAATAAAGAAAAATTCTGACAAACACTTTGATTTAAAAAGACGGGCTCGATTTATTTTATCAGTGCAAAGTTTTAACATAATTCAACACGTTTCAAAACATCACAGCGATTATGTGGCTCATTTTGCATACCACTCAAAGTCTTGATATAACCGCCTGATAACGAATTAATCTGTGTCAATTGGAGAATTGTGCGCATTTTAATCTGTGGAAAATAGGAACGAAAGAAAAATTGTAGAAAAAAAACACTGAATTTTTCCATCGATCGAAGCAAATGGGAAATATCAAGAATAATACAAAAATCCAATACACAAAGACAAGATAAATGAAGACAATTACAATTATCCGTGTTGAATGTACGCTTATCTAGTGTGTTTTGTTATTTATTTTTGCTTGAAATCCATTTGCACAAACGAAAGCTGATTGCTCATTTTTATTTCCAATAAGAAACGAGCGAATAATTCTGAAAACTAGGCAATTATAAATGACAACGGAATAAAACGACAGTTGTTAATGCATCATTTGTAAAATTGACAATGATAAGGATTTTCAAGTGAGATATCGAAACTGTTTTTCTGTTTGAACAAAAGAATCATCTGAAGATTTTAAATCGGTTCAAAAAAAAGTACACAAACTATTTTTGCTGCGGCAAACGAAAGAAAAGCAAGGAAATTTTGTCGCGTCGCTGATCCTAAAATTCCGCAGCATAAATTTGTTTTGTCACACAAAAAGAATTGAAGTCGTTGCCGTTGGAAGACGGTGACCGTAAAACTGCCAAAATAGTTCAATCAAGAGAATTTAGTGCAACCGTGAACCCCAATACTGGGGTGCAAACCAGCAATATTATTACCCACAATCCGTTGAGCGTTTACGGAAGTGGCGTTGTGTGCCACTCACCGTCAGCGCCATCCGGATTCTTTAATCCATGCGGCCCATCGGATTTGGGCGCACTCGAGCTGGGCTTTCCACGTTCGATGGCCCTTGCCGTTTCACAGCCGGCGACCAGCGCATGGCGCGAACCAATGAGCTCACATCTGTCATCGGTTTTAACGCCCAAAGTGGAGGAACTCACGCAATTGTCATCCGGCCTTAGTGGCCTATCAAATAATGTCACAACCAGTGCAAACAATGGTACCGCCGTTACACCGACCTCGATCACACCGAATGGCAGCGCAAATGCGGTCATTAGTTCGGGTTTGAATAGCCGAGATTTAGTGCAACAAAGTACAACGCCCAGCTCACAGGCCAACAGCTCACAAAGCGGTGGTTCACAATCCGATCAAAAGAATCAACAAAACATCGAATGCGTGGTGTGCGGTGACAAATCATCCGGCAAACACTATGGCCAATTCACGTGCGAAGGTAAGTTCGAAAAATTCATCAATTCGCTTCGTTTTTATTCCCATTTTCAGCGTCACAATCGAATTGTGGTCAATGTTAAGTGCATACAAATTTATTTTTTTTCCTTCTTATTGCCCGTGTGTGTGCGTGTGTTTGTGTGAAAAGTGATAAATGGACAAGCCAATAACATGAAAAGTGAATAATCCACAGACAACTTGACTGAGTGCTTTTTGTAACCGAATTCCGTTCGATTTTCGGTCAACAATGCTTCGGTACAATAAAAACATAATCGGTCTCACATTTCCTGAACGTGTGCCACGGCAATGCCAACGACAACATGATATCGATATAATAAATTGCCTGGGAAATACACTTCGACGCCAAAACAGTGGCTAAACGCATTCAGAGCACCACAGACGAAGAGAGAGAGAGAGAGAGAGAGAGAGAGAGAGAGAGAGAGCAGAGTAAAAGAAAAAAAAATGAATAAATTCCGATCACATAATATCCGGTCCATAAAAATCATAAAATAATCGTAAAACATAAACTTATGCTCCATTCGGTCGGTTTGTCTTGTTCGCTTTTTTTCTCTCTCTCTGATGTTGTGTCCCAGTCGCATTCGCATCAATTTAATATCCATAATTTGGTAAATCGTGCGTTTGGGAATCGTATCAAATTGTACTCAAGTATTCCTTCCAATGGGAGGCGAACGAATGGAAAAAAAAGAACCGACAAATGCTGGAAAAAGTACACCAGTTACACGGAAATGGTTTTTTGAAAGGGACGACAAACGTTGGGTGTTATTGCTTCTGATTTGAAAACACTCAATATGGTTTGTCGTCGGAATTCGAATGACAAATGATTTGCTAAAGTTTTTCTAGTTCTTTTTTCCTCTCTCTGTGTCTTTTCCCCGCTCAGACTTTGACTTTTCGCCATAGCATGTGACATCGCCAAAATGTAAATTTATCGCTTTTTTATGCGGTTTTTAATCAAAATTCGCGATAGAAATTGACGTTCTTTTGTTCTTTTGCACTTGTGAATGAATTTTTATCGACCATAAATTGCAATCATTTATTTTCGACCAGCAACTCAATCACATTCGACCCAAATTCATTGAGAGAAAACAAAAACATTTGAAAAGTTTTTTCAGAAACATTTCCTGAATATCAACTAGAATGAAATTCACATTTACAAATTTCGACGAAAAACAAAACACGAAACGAAAAAAAAGTTAAAATTCAAAAACAACTATGAAAACTGTCACATTGTCTTTTCGAAATAATTAATCATAAAATTTAGTGTCGTTCGAGAGATTCAAAAGCAAAATGCCAACGGAACAAAAGCCTAATGTCAAAGCTAACACAGCACCGAGCAGAAAAGTCTTTTTGAGCAAAAGACGCAACCAACAGACAGATCAGATGCTATAAAGGAATCTAGTTGTAAACGTAATGCCGCTGCTCGTCCTGCCGACGTCTTTCATTCTTTCTCCTTTTTTTCTGCTCTGCATTTGCTTCGACGATGTAATAATCGTCGAGGGGATGCTTGTTTCTTTATGTTGTCATATTTCTCATTTTTTGGTTGCACTTTGTATGTCGCCGTACATTTGTAACAGCAGCAACAACAAACAGGCCAAAAAAAAAATGTTTCGTCATCTGTGCGGTTTGAAAGATTACTTCTGGTGTATGAGCTTGTGCATTGTCTCAACTATGTAATCGAGCCCATAAAATATGATTTAAGACAATATTTAAACGAATAAAATTGGGCATACATCGAAATGTTGTCGTTCTCCGTCTTTCTCTGCATCTCTTTATAATATTTTTTTTTTCGTTCTTCAACATTTTCCATACGTCTGCTCTAGTAAATCTAGTGGATTGAGACGGTTTTTTATTTATCAGTGGTAATGCAAACCAGTCTCGTTCGAGTCACGATAATCATGTTAAGTCGACCCTTACTTCCTAAATGAAAACGATTTTTTATACGGAAATTGTTTTTTACGCTTATTCTCGTTATGATTTCGTTCATCTGTGGAGACAGTTCAAAAGTGAATGACGACAAACAAAAAAAATGCTTCCGTGGCTACAGAAGAGAATGCACTGATTAGAAAATGTGTCTTTGGGCGATTCTTTTTTCAATTTTTTTTCTTTCTAAAAAATATGAACCAAATGATGAGATTAATTTTTTTTGATAAATAAGTGCGAAAAAAACGGAATCACACGTAAACTTTTAGCGAAGAAGGAAAAAAAATGAACAAACGCAAATCCACTGCCCCTAATATTTTGAACACAGAAAATATACGATTATTTGCGAACCAAAAATCAAATAGTTCAAGCAGTGCTAAGTAGCAAACGTATAAATTTTCGCGTTGGAGATGAGACGAGAAGCAAACTGAACGCGGAAAAAAGTGATGGTATGAATATATAAGTCGGTGTCGCCATTGCGGTCAGAAGTGATATGGGTGTATGTAGGATATTAGTTTAGCGTCGTATTTCACCTCATGTGTCATAACATTTTGCTGTGTCGATTGGATTTGTTTCGCATGTTTTTCCTTTCGTTTCGTTTGTCACTTTTGCACACGAACACCGGGCCAGAGAGAAAGAGAGAGAGAGAGAGAGAGAGAGAGAGAGAGAGAGAGAAAGAGAGAGAGAGAGAGAGAAAGGCGGGCGAGAGGCCGAAAACCCATTTTGTGTTAAAACACGAAAAGCCACGGAATTAGATTGGATATTACATCATGCTTATTCGAATAGGCTGAACGTAATTAAATTACCGCGTGTGTAAAAAAAATGTCGGTTGTCAGTTTACAACAAGCTGCTTGGTTTGACCAAACATGAAATCGATGAGAATATATAGGAACAAAGAATACTTTTAAGTTCCGATTGAGACATTTCTCGCATTTCTATTTTTTGCTCCTTTTCTTTGTTGTCCACGGTTTTCAATTCACTGAATCACTATAATCCGTGAGTAAAATTCAAACTGAAAGATTAAAGGTGATATCGACCTGCTTTGTTGAGCCATTTGAAAAAGTCATTTTCAACACTTTTTCCTTTAACTCCTGCCACTGGATCAATGAAGGCATTTTTTATGTGACCCGTTCGTATTTCCTTACCGAGAGGAAGAGAGAGAGAAAAACCAATTTGACCAGCGAAGCGTTAACCAATTGAAAGTGCTTTTCTGCACTTTTTAGATTTCGAAACGTAATTTTACAATTTGTTGACGGAAAACCGCCCGCTTTTTTTCCACTTCAAATCGTTGAAAACAATCTTGTTTTTTTTCCAGTTGATTTTCAAGAGCCACACTAATTTCAATATTGCATGTTTTGATTCCATTTGCATTGCTATCATCGAGTAAATATTGACATTATTGGCAGCTTTTTCTTCCCTCCTCTCTCTCTCCCACCCCTTGGTCGCCCAATGGATTCCTCTATTATTTTATAAGTTAATTAGCAAATAAAAAAGAGAAACGATTTGTTTCAAGTGTTTTGTTGACAACACTTATCAGTGCGAATCAAGTCAGTTAGTCCACTAGAAACATCCATTGCATAAAATTACGACAGAAATAGCTTTTTGAAGTCGTGCACAACACACTCAATGTCAATCTGACTGTCATGTTGAAATTGATTCCGTTTTTTTTTCGTCTTGTAATTTTTTGTCGATTGAGCTAAATATGACGCTTCATCGAAACCTTCGGAATCAATTTTGTTTCGTAGAAAAACAAAGCGTCTCATCAATTTTGCATTCGAAATGGTGCATGAATTGCGTTTCATTCGTTAAAATTATGTCAGACGAATTAAAGCTGGCGCGCAATTGATTGTTATTCAAAAGGGACAATCATACTAGAAAGCGTATCAAATAGATAAGATCGGCGCTAGTCTAACGGTGTTTTGCCTGCAAAGTGGTAAATGAAATCATAAGCTCATGCGACAATACATTTTTTTTTTCAAATGTGAGAATTTAATTGTATTTAATAACAGTGCAACGTGGAGCAATCGACTTACTCTCTTTCTCTCTGTCCCTGCTTGCCTTCAATCATTTACGGCCAATTTATTTAGTGCGAATGACAAAATAAAATCTTTGAACAGAAAATAAAAATGAAATTCGAAACATTCCAACACCAAGCAAAAACTCACACGCCATCGATGGCAACACAAATGTGACATTTCTGTTTGTTCTCATTCACACTCGGCGGATAGAAATTGCTCTTTATTGTGATTTCGATATGCGTTTCTTCATTCAGCCGTTTTTTTTGCTGTCTTTCGCTGCGTATTCAGTACGTGAATCTAATAATTATCGTAATTTTCTTAGCAGGGAGGCAAATGACAATGTGCTCGCGCGACAAAGTATCAAAATCCAAACCTGCATCGAACGTGGAAAGAAAAAAACATAAAAATAACGACACACTGATACGTTTACAAATTATTACTCCGACACCTTTTTTCCACATATCATTGTCCGTCTCTCTCTCGGTGTGCGTTTTTTTCTCTCGTCGCTTTCTTGTTCCGCAATTGCAAACGGCGAATGGTTGAGTTAATGTTGAGGCTCATATTCATGAAAACAATTGCATCAACTCCATAAAGTCTGTCATTATTTCAATTACCCGAAGCACGGCGGCTGCTTGCCATCGACATATACTGCGAGAGACCGGGAAAGAGAGAGAGAATAAACGGTGCAAAGGAACTGAATGAATGGCGAAAAAAGAACAGCCAAGCCACAACGTGCTCAAGCCCACAACACACAATATCACTTTACCACTTTTTTTTTTCGATTTTCTCTCTGTGTATGTTCCTGAGCTGGGCTCGAGCACGATCAGATAAAACTGCGAACTGAATAGCAAAAGCAATAACCGAGAAAGACATCGGTGTTTAGATGTTGAGAGAGTGTCACTTGATTAAAATGCTTGCGTGCCGCAAACACTTGAAAGAATAAACGTGTACACTGAAACAGCGGCGCACTCGAAATTCTTTTTTTACTAATTACTTTGACTTGAGCATCAATGGTAAACCCGGTTGCCAATATACACACACACAGAAAATATATGTTATCAATTCTTTCTTTTGCTTCGACACTGAGAACGAGTATCGCTTCTTTTCGACGACATGGTTTTCGGCACAAGATTTTCGAATTGTTAGATTGCGATAAATTTGTCTGGAACTGTCAACAAAACCAAGGCGAAAACATTAGACACCGGAACACAAAACCGAATCCTTCTTCATTCTGCGTTCAAATGATGTTCAAATAGAATAGACAGACAACAATGGGCAACAAAGACAAAAAGGCCAAGTTTTGATTCCATTTGTCACGCAATCATTGTTATTATTGCGTTTAAGTTTGATTTTTTTTACAACAAAGCGAATTACAAACATGGAACTGATGCACACACAAGATGTTGACAACACTCGCTTGCCAGCATATCGAACAATGAAACTCTTTTTTTCTCCGCTGTCTCGCTCTCAAACATTTCTTCCCTTCATTCATCATCTTTGTACGCTGTGGTGCATGCATCTCGCCTTTTGCCCCGATTTTCTTCGGTTACCTTCTTTTTTTCCGCGAGACAAAAACAAATACAGATAAAAAATGAAACGGAAAGGAGCCGAACCGTCGAACCCCTTTTTTGGAAGTCGGGCCAGAGTTTAAATACGCTCGACGACACCAAATAAACACCAAATCGATTGGCTTTGTGTGATTGCAATAAATTCGATAATTAGATGATCAAAAGTACCACATAACAGCCAATATTCCTATTGATTTTTCCTATGGATTCAAACAAGTTTTCATAAGCCTCTCATCTTGAAACGTGTGATTTTATCACCGATAATCATGGTGAGCCAATACGATTTCAATGGAAAAACTGACGAATTAAATACGAATCATAAATTGAGCGAGCTCAAGTAGCGGAAATAAGTTCCGCAATCAACATAAAGAAAATAAAGTAAACAACACTCAACATAATTTCATTTGAGGCCTAGCCCAAGAACGCCTAGAGAGTTTGTTATGGATTTTGAAGCTTGAGGCTTCGATCCGTGCTATTTATGGTGATCAAATGTAATTTTATTTGCATTGCGCTGCGGTCCAAAGTGCATATCCGACCGTGTTAAAATACCGCACATTTCGAACTTGCTAGTCACCACCAGCTAAAGAACACGCTTAGAAGAAGAAGAAAAAAAATGCGAAAAAAATAACTTAAGGTATTTATGAGTGTGCACACGTCCGTTGATGATTCTTAGTAATTTTTGCAGCGGTGTTGCTGCTGCTGCTTCTTTTTTCTCATTTCATTTCTAATTAACTAATTTACAATTAAAGCAGTTAACCATTTGAAACATGATGTGCGGACGGTTGTGCTCTCGATGCTTGTTATTCGATTTAATAAATAATTAATTGTGAACATAAAGTGGCAAACGATGATGAACCGAGCGTAAGAATGGGAGAATCGACATCGGTGTGCAGTTGCAAATGTATCGAAATGGTCGAAGAAGTAGAGTGTGGTCAACATTGCAAGACACTTTCGTATGCCATCGCATCTACACACGAACACACACATGTACGTCAATTCGACAGCACTCATTCGCGCGCCGCTCTTTCAATCGAAAATGATCTAAATCATATTTCGCATCGTGCAAATCGTGATGTTAAATTGTACTGACGCCGATGCAGCTATTAAGTGTATTTGTGATGTGTGTAGCCGCGAAGCGCACGCGGCTTCATGCATTTTGTTCAATTGACTGATGCAACAAGTTCCATTCGAAGTGAACGTGAACTTCACATTAAGATGACGTGAATCTCGCATTGTAAGCGAGCAAGAGCGAGAGAATGGCAGAAAGAGTGCTGTTTAGCTGTTTTGGTTCTATTTGTAGTGGCTATAGTTGCAACAAGCACAACAAAACACAAATGATGGGTGCCGTTCGTCTACAAACGGAACTATATTAAATAAGTCAGAAATGCGCATTTCAGCTCGTTGCACACTCATCATAATTTTACTGCGGGAATTTGTTCATTCCTTCTGCGTTCGTTTCTTTCTGCAACTTTGCGCTCGCGCGACCGCGCACGCTTGCGATCTTTCGTGTGAGTGAGTGAGTGAGTGAATGAGTGTTGCGGCTTGTTTTTGCACTTGACCGACGGTGTAAATTATTGTAATAAATGTTCCACGAAACCATACCGCCAGCATACCTGATTATGGTCACTGAGGTGAACACTAGGTATAGCACCATGCAATATGAAAATCGGTACTTGAACATTGCATAACTTTGATTTTGTTTCTCCTTCTTCTTCTTCTTTTTCCCGTGTGCATTTTTTTACTCCGTTTGAATCGCATCTTTTGAAATGCGCTTTTTCTTCCGCGTATGTTACCGATATATTCTCAAAGCCGTAAATGGGAAATCGAGGCGATTTTCTCATGTCCATTCGGATGGGAACGACTAGTTTCGTCACACGAAATTAATTTTCATTACATCTTTTCCGCAACGTCAATGCAGCAAATTTTTCCAAGTCAATTAAGCCATTAACAGTGTAATGGCTCTCATCGAACAATGGCTCCAAAAAAAACTCAATGCAAGCAATCCTCGCGCCGTGCCGTGATCATAATTTTCTTCGATGCATAATTAATTTGCCTCATTTATCTGTTTGTTTATTTCCATCTCATCCTTGCGTTACATCGTTTGGAATTCTCTTCCCGGGCGTCTAAGATCATGGCGCGACCAAGAGAAGAAGCGAAAAAAATTTGGTATTGCACATGAGATGGGGAAGAAAAAATCATATAAACCGCTGCTATATTGTATTTAACCGAACTTTTAATAGCCTATAAAACTCTTCTAACCGATTTCGGGTACTGGTTTCGAGCCATCGAAATTCGGTGGATGCAGGTAGACTAATCGAGGTCGGCCAACGGGGCAACGGCCAAACGAAAGCACATTATTACGATGAATTTTCGTATCAACAAATATTTCAATTTATCACGTGTGCCCAAACAATGGCATCAACCAAAGACGATGAAAAAAGAAACACGCACGCCAAACGTAATGTTACAACCGGAGCAAAATAACTGATGTACCACAATGTCAGACACACAGCACAGAACACGAAGAGAAGAGAAGAGTAAAAAAAAACATTAGGGTAAACACAGAATGCAACAAAACAGATTATCTCAATTTTTATGAAATGAGACGAATGGCAAAAGGAATATAATAATAACAATTGTTGCAACAAGAAGAGAAGTGAATCATAATCGGTTATTAAGGGGTTAAAAGTTTAAAGTATAAACGATGCTGCTGCTGCTGCTGCGGGACCGCAAGCAAAGGGAACTCGAGGCAGCTTCATGAGAGACCGAATTAAATGCAGCCTCAATATAGAACAATCCTTTACAACGATTGTCACCTCTAACCTGTTTTTGACTTTATATCCCCGATGCCAACTTTTGTTTATTCTTTGAATTTTATTTAATATACCGAGTGCTTGTCGTTCTCATTTTAATTTCAAATACTTCGAGCAAGCAAAAAATTTCTTTCTATTTTGCACATCAAGCGATAAATCTCACTGCAAATCAATCAAAATATAACCGATTCTCAGTGCACAAAGCCCAACTAACGGCCTATCCATCGCACCGCACAATGAATACAATTCGAATGTATATTTGTGTAGTGTTCTTCTCTTTGTTTTTACTTTTTACCGTAACCACACAGCGGCGAGGCGCGCACTTGAATCGCCGTGAATGCATGAGAAGACTCCGACTGTTCACACAAATCAAATAAAAGAGCCGATTGCATCGACTCCAATCAGTGTGGAATACGACTATAACTGAGGCTGAGGTGGAAGAATATATATATGGTTTCCCTCGATACGCTTTAAGTAATATTAATCGGCATTAGCAATTCTTAATGTGAAAGCCCAGCCAACAACGGATAAATGCATTGTACAAAACGAACGAAAAGGGCAACACAGTGCAATATGCGAACGATGATGATTCACACTACGGTGCGAAAACGACTGGACTTCTTCAGTCCAGAACAACGGAAAAAACAAATGAAAGAAAAAAATCACGAAGAAAAACTAATTATCTTTTTCAATTCCATTCAATGAAATTTCTCCGTTAACCATTTGGTGTGTGTGTGTGTATGGTGTACTGTTAATTCGGAACCAGCACTCAAACTCAATGCAATGACATTGATTTATTCCAGCGGCAAATCGAGGAGAAGTGAGATGCCTTCAAACTAGCCAAATAAATGTAGGCAATTTTTGTTGTTAGTAAATTGGCAAATTGACGGGGTCGAAATGAAACAAATCATTCACCAACTGATTCTAATTGGATTCTCCATTCTCCCATCGTCCAAACGTAGCATTGATGCTGTGTGACGTGTGTTTGATGCATTGTCTGCAATTTTTCACACTTGACCGCTAAAAGATTGCATTTACAAATGTTTTTTTTTATTTACAGTAAAATATCGTTTGCTGTCTGCTTTTGGTGAAACCAGAATTATTATTTTTTCATGACTTTTTCAATTTTTTTTCAACTTCCAATTTTTTTCTCTCGTTTTCTATCCAGGTTGCAAATCCTTTTTCAAGCGATCAGTTCGAAGGAATCTCTCGTACACATGCCGAGGGAATCGCAACTGTCCGATCGATCAACATCATAGGAACCAATGTCAATACTGTCGTCTAAGAAAGTGCCTAAAAATGGGAATGCGACGAGAGGGTAAGTTGAAATCCGTTTCTATTTCTACTATTTCATCATAAGAGATTTTAAATGGACATGTGAAAAAACGAATCTTGATCTTAAATGAATTCATCGAAGAAAAACGTCGCATCGGTTTTAAATTTTATTACGGTTTTTCAGAAAGAAATATTATTTACGACTTTAATAATTACAGTTTTTGGTAACGGCGCCTCCTTTCAATCACATCGCTTTATGTAGCGTGTCTATCGAGTCGTAAAGTCCTTAAACCGGTTCGAAATATCATCGCGTCTTTCTATGCGAGCACTTTTTCTACCGAGAAGTTCTCGACGAGAACCGATTTCGGTCATCGAAAACCAAGAGAAATATTATTTCTACTAAAATCAAATTTATGATAAAAGAAGTGAAGCGAAAAACAGTCCCTATTCAATTTTCTCATTTTAATTATTTTGTCCATCATAAGGAGCAGCAAGGATTCGGTTTTATTTATTTTAATTTGATCAAATGGTCAAGCATTTCTATCCCTATGCGCTGTTCTAAATGTACTCAAAACAAATCGCACTGCAGATGCGACGAAGAGAGCCGATCGAATGAAAAGACAGCGAGGAAAAGGATTGGAAATCACACGCTTTTTGTGTTCTACACGTAACGAAAAGGGAAAACGGAAAACCACCTTGAAATCATTTTTTGCATACCTAAGATACTCAATGACCAATGTCCAGCTGAGTGAAGACCCTTTCGATGGCCATATCCTTTTGGCATTGTCGTAGCTCACATTTTTTTTTGTTCTTCGGTCTTCCTCTTGAGACTTAAAACCAAATGCCATTGTTTTCAAACATACCTAATATCCCTTTCTTCGGAATTCCGTCGGCACATCGGCACCCCATTTCCCTTCACCAACAAACGTTTGATGCGCCGTGTCAACAATGAACAACGGAAAAATCACAACAAAATTATGCAAATGCCATCCATTCATTAATGACATGGATTCATTGTTATTGCCTCGTCATCATTAGGATCATCATTGGAACCATTTCGCTCGTTGAAAATAATAAAATCGTCTAACACTTTCGGTCAAAACAATTTCCATTGTTGTGCGCCGGTTGAACTCTTGGGTTCGCGCTCTGACCGTTGGTCAATCCGAAAACAGATCATGTGAATTTTCGCTTTGCGTTCCGAAATTTTAATCGCTTGACCAAACATCACCTCTATTAATAATTTTCGACTGTGGCTAACAAAGAAAAATCAAATAACATGTAAATGTAATTTACCCGCGACCTTTGCACGCTGTGATTAAACCGAACAAATCATTTCTATAACATTTTTTGCGCTTGACCAATTTTTGGAACGAAGAAATTAATAGAAAAAAGGCGGCGGTCATTTTAAAAAGCTTCGAATTAATTGCAATTTCAGTTTGGGAATTTTTTTATGTTTCCAGTCCTTGGAAACGAAATGATCAGTTACTCAATCTTCTGCGTGCAATATTTGAACGTCGTTGATGTTCGTTATTTTCTGTCTTCGTCTTTGAATAAAGGACACGAATTGATAGGTATAAAATAGTCGCGATTGACGCTTGGCTAAGGGTGTACTATAATGATGAGCGCGTAATGCTAATGATCATTCTCTGAATAGGGTTGAATGTCAATGAGATCCGTTTTTTTAACTCTCACTGTCTCGTGATGGCATTAAACGCATGAACATGACTTTGGTATACCAAAATCCATGTTCGAGCACCTTTATAGAGGTAATTTTTCTAGAACCCAAAATGAAGAAAAAATCGTTTGACGCATCTTATTTTGCTGAGAAAGTGGCTTGGTCGCTGGATGAAAAATGGCTCAAGACTGCATTTATTTGCCCAAGACTGCATTCATCCGATATCCTTGTCATTATGCATCCCAATTTTGAGCCGTATGCATTTTTCCGTAATTAATCAATTTCATTTCAATTCGATTAACTTTCGTGATATGCCAATTAAACTCTATGACACTGAACAACGATGATGGTACCATTTTTCAACTACTTTTTCTTCTATGAAAGCGAATCCTTTGACTTGGCAAAGGCTTAAACCCGTAGACGAATTTTAAATGAAAAATTCCATGAGTCCACAATGTGTTTGAATGCAAAATGCTTTGAACCGTTTAATAAATTTCGCTTCCACTATGCAAGAACATCAGATCAAGAGCGTACGATTGTAATATGAATGAAAATTATTAATCAAAATCTCTTTCGGTTCTTTTTCTTTCTGTGCCATAAAATTTCGTGGATGTCAAACAAAATAATCGCATCTTGATTCATGTTCTTTGTCATGCAAAATGATATTAAAATGGAATTTATGTTATCATGGGCTTTATTGCTTTAGCAACGTTGTATGCTGCATGCTGCATGATGTCTTCTTTAAAAGTTGCATTGTGTTTTGGTCGACACAAGAAGGATAAAATCCAAAATTACACACATTGTCTTTTGGAGCGACATGTGTTTATAAAACTTTGTAGCCGTTGTTTGCATGTGTCCATCTTGCTTTCGCTCGCTCGCTCTCGGTGTGCCGAGCAAATATTTTCATACTGATGCATGTGATTTTGCAGGCAGAGAGAAAGAGCGTTTATCGTTTCGATAAACGATTAATGTTGATTATGATATGGTTATATGTGCCCGTTCTATGGTGATTGCGTTTCATGTTTAACTTGCAATAACGTTAAGTGAATGTGTGTGCAGTGCTGCGCGCACTCTGGCTGCCCGGCAATCGGCGTGTAACGGATGATGAGCAATATAAAATGTAAACCTGTAACGCAAATTGTGCTATGTTTACAGTTTTCTCTGTCGTTTTCTCACATAAAAGCACAATTCACTATGCATTACCGGGGCAAAAACAGTAAAGACAGTTTGATTTGCGCTTGGCGCTCTTCTTCAGCACCGCTGCATCGCCGCGCATACGCTGCACAAATTCGATTTCTCAAAGTTAGCCAAGTCCAAATGTAGATTTTGTGCCTGAGAATGCACACAACAGCACACACACACACATCACAAAATTGGATGCTAGTACAATTTTGGCGTCTTGAGTTCATACTCAATAATAAAATGTTTTCAATGGCCATTAAAATTAAGTGAATTGAATGAAAAATGAAGAGAAAAAAAATAGATAGAGAAAAAAAGGGAAAAAATGATCCTAGAGAACGTGAGCATTACTGCCGTCTTAAAAACGAATGAATAAAAAACAGCAACAATAATAATAAAAAAAAGGAAAGGAAAAGCAGCGTGGCTATTCGGTTAGTTGCGCGAACACACATGCTGAACGGGGCCTCGGCCGATGAATACATGAATTTTAAATGCAGAAACGCATATATCGACTACCCGCAGCGGTATTGTTTTCGGAACTATCGTGAACATTCATGTTGTTGTTGTTGAGTTGTTTTTTTCTTCTGCTGCTGCTCATTCAATAATAAAAAACCAAACAAAGGCTATCTCAACGATGATGATGAGGTAGATTTCTTTTCCTATCTCACAGGCCTAGTTCTTGCATATTTTTTTTCGTTTCGTTTCGCTCGCTCTCTTCCTTTTTCGAGAAATTTATGTACTGACAATGAGAAATCGAGATTATTCGTTGCAAATAAAAGTAATGCACATTTGCGTAACAATGTTGCACGCTTCCAATCGCATGAATATTCAAAGGCTTGCGCAGCTTGACAAACGCTTTGCTCTCTTCCGTAAACACTCGAAATTCTCCGCAATAAAACACATTTGAAAATTGTTTCTTTTTTGCACACCAAAAGAAAAACCAAAACCCAATCCGAATTTCGGTGAGAAAAAGTCAAGCGAAAAAAAAAAGTAAATGTAGCGAAACATGAAATTTCATAAGATTATGATAATCTATTGAAGTCGCTGCAGCGAACTAAACATTGTGTTTTTTCTCGTATCTTCGTGTCGATGTTACAGTTCCCTGCTGCCTTTTCGTCGTAAGCGCACATATATTCCCCAAATATAGACACGTCGAGCAACGTATGTTACATCAGCTCCTAGTACAAATGCGCGCACAAATACACACACACACTGCCAAACCAGCCCGTGCACATTTTCAAGCACAAAAGATCGCGACCATCGTGGGATTTTTCCGCATTTCTTTGTGGCTCAATTTACTCGCGCCGGTGTTGCACTTCGCTTTATTAGTTCAACCATATGAGAAATCAACGGAAATCTCAGTTTCGCGCTCCGCGAGCGCGCACAGATTCAGCTCTGGCGCGCACATGAAATGTTTTGTGTTCAGAAAGCCATTTAACTTTAAACGTTATAAAAATCAAATAATGCACAAAGTGCGCGAACGCGCCCGCGCGTATCATGTACAGGAAAATGAAAAAAAGCAACTAACACGCCTAACATATGCGGACGTGCATGAGGACGAACGGGATGGAAAGAGAGTAAAATCTTATTTTCAATCCATATAATTAATTTTTCAACTTGATATTTATTTGCTTTGTGTGTGCCACGATGCTGCCAAACGTGCAGCAGAAACGAATTTCTAATTAGAATCGAAGAACGAACAACGCAGTCTGGCTCTCGGTTTTTTTCGCATCTACGAAAAAGGTGAAATGCCTTTTAATCACTGCATTAGCCATTGCTGGTTTTAACAATGAGATTTTTTTTTGCATTTCGTTCATGTGTTTTTCTTCCTAGATAGTGGAGGTTACGGCCGAAAATATTAATATGACTATGTCTCTCTAATCGGAACCGCTTAGGCTCTCCAATAAAACATGATGATCTTGAATCGTGCACAATTCGTTTTTATGAGGCGAATCATGTGCCTAAAGACAAATTTCCTATTTCGAATCGATTCGCAATGTATATGACACAGAGTGTGCGCGACCCAATTGAATAAAAGAAACGTCCTAAACGCAGTACTACACTCGAGACGAACGGAACGAGAGAATAAAATCGCTGATTTCAAATCAAAATCCAAGCGAGTGATTTCTAATTTTATTGCATGCACAAATTACGCTTCATTAGAAAATGAATATGTATTATGTTAAAAA